GGAGGTTTTGAGGAGAGTGAAACCACCTCTTAATTGCTGGTGTTCCCAGGTCCCCCCTGATCCGGGGTGGTAGCACCTGTTAGGGTCCCTGCTATGGGCAAATTGTTAACCCCAAAACTGGGGTCAAAAACACTATGGAAATATAGAAATAGGTTTTAATACCAGCAATACATTTTTCTAAAAAATTATTACAAGCAATGAAGTTTTGAAGAAAAAATATGTTAGCAGCAATACATTTTTGAAGAAATATTATTACCAGAAATAGAATTTGGAAAAAATATTCGTAGCAATACATTTTTGAAAAAAACAAAAAAATATCAGTAATACATTTTTGAAAAAAAAATATTAGCAGAAATAAATTTTGAAAAAAAAAAATGAATTACCAGCAATACATTTTTGAAGAAAAATAATATTATCAGCAATAAAAATCTTGTTGGCATTAAATAACCTATTGAGATTGATATGCCGTAAAACAAACCAAGTCAAACCAAATTCACGAAATAATTACGAAAATTGTATAAATAATCTTGAGAAGGCCAGGTACTACCAACTCAATAACGACTAAAATTTAATAAAATTTATCTCAGATTTAGTATAAGAATTATTACAACGCAAAAAAGTGTTTTAATTAATGCCAATTAAATTTTTATTTTAAATACAAAGATTTTAATTAACATTTTCCGCTAACCTGAAGTGGAAAGATTATATTGAATCATTTGCTAAGTCTACCGTTAGGAAATTTGGTTCACTGTGCCATGTTAGAGATTTTTTATCGCCATAATTTATCTTACATATTTGTACCTCTCTCATTCGTCCGTACAATAAATATTGGTGTAACATCTGGTTTGGTGCTTCTACTATGTATTTAGAGATTCTTGATAATATAAAAAGAAAAATCTGCAATATTATTGATCTTGACCTGGCATCTCAGATTCACTCACTTTCCAACGGCCGTAGCATATCTTCCCTGCGCCTTTTCTATAAATATTTTCATAGTAATTGTTCTGATGAGCCTTCCTCTTTGTTACCTAGACTTTATGAATTTAAGCGCAATATTAGATTGGCGATATGCCACCGTAAGTTCTATACTAGCAGTTTCTTCTCTCGCACTTTTTCCTAGTGGAACTTTCTTTCGTCTTGTTTTATAGTCAAATTTGATCTTCAAAACATTTAAATGCAATGTCAATCGTTATCTTCTGTCTTCTTAATTGTTGTTCTTTTATTGTTCTCTTTCCTTAATAATTTTTTTTCTCATATTCAATCACACTCAGTGACTTCTTGCGTTTTAGCGGCTTTATTGCTTTGCTTGTGGTGAAATAATGAAAAAAAAATAATAATAACATCCGAAGCAGGAATTTACAAAATGGACTTTAAAATGTCATAAGGAATACATAGGTGAAACATCTAGGAATTTGAATAAAAAATTATATGAACATAAAAGGAAACATTTCCGAATCAATGCAACCGATGCATCGTTTACCGTAAGAGGTCTGGCTATAACAAATTAAAAAAAAGATACAGTTCTAATTAAAAGAGAAAGTGTGGTGAAATATGACCAAAGAATTCTAACCTACGTATGGCTAAGTGGCCAACGATGTCTCGTTTGCTCCAGAGCAGCCGCCATATGCAATTTAGTTAAAGCGCATGCGTGGTTCTAGTGCTTTTAAAACTATCGCTAATTTGCATGCGTGGTCAAAAACCTAAATAAAAAAGTGAGCAGCTCAAACGAGTCGAGGGAGGAGAAATGTATTTTGACTTGTGGTGAGAAACTATCAGCTGAAGAAAGTAGTTTATCATTGTTTAATTATTATTTATTCGGTCGAGTTAGCTCGGACATTAATGAGTCTATCACGCCAACCATCACTGTCCTGCATCAAGCTCAGAAGGTCATTAGGGAGGCATTCTGTGTCATAAAATAGTTGGTCAATGTATGCAGTTGCTGGGCGATCAACCCGTCTTCCTCCTTGGCTAGGTGTCCAGAGCAGTAGATCACTCGCGTGTTCTTGTTTTGCTCGCCAACAATGTCATGCAAAGCGCATTCTGTGTTTGCGCAAGATTTTATAAATATCAGGGATGGGTCCATATTGCTGTGATTTGATAGGATGTTGCCTCCAAATACTCTAAGTATACCAGTGTAGGTTCCATCAAGCTTAGACTGTAGGGTTTTACGTAATGTCCTTTAAATAGATTCTTTTGTTACCATTATCCATGTTCTTAAATTATACATCAGAAAAATTTCGTTGGAAACAAATAAACACATGGCAGAGAATGCTAGACAATCTCAGAAGAGATTAAGAAGAAACTTGAGGCAACAGAAATGTGGTTCTACAAAAGGATGCTGAGAATACAATGAATTGAAAATATAAACAACAACGAAGAAAATGGAAACAAAAGAACACTTATACTTAACATCTGAAAGAGACAGTTGAAATTTCTAGGGCACATAATGAGGAAAGAGGGCTTGGAAAATGTGACACACACAGGACAGAAATTTGAAAACAGCGCACTGTTCTGCTTGGTATTCCCGCCAGAAGCTCCATTACGAATATTGCAGAGTGTTTAGGTGTCAATCTGAGGATAGTGCAGAGGATTCGGAAAGAGTCAACATTATGGTGTTTGGAGCGATCTCTAGGGATGGCAACGTCATGCCTCCATTAATCTTCCCCCAGAGGTCTCATGGAGGCCTACATCAATCACCTTGAGGTGGTAGTACTGTCCTGTGTCAACAGGGTGGCTGCTGGAAAACCCTATTTCTGGCAACAGTACTCTGCATCATGCCACACAAGCAGGAGAACCCACTCATGGCTGTCAGGCAATTTCTGCGACCACATCATCCCTTACATCTCGCTACCTAACTACCCAAAATGCAACTCCCATGATTATTATGTGTGGGGTGCGAGAGACCAACAAAACTCCTTATAACACGAGAGATGAACTGAAAGCAAGGATTATGGCAGCATTCACCAATTTAAACAAGGAGACCGTCCAGAAGAGTTGCAGGAGATTCTGAGATCGTCTAGAGGCCGTGGTTGAATCCAATGACGATTTTATTGAATACATTTACGCTTTAGTATTTCAAGATATCTTTTAGTAAATGAGATGTCAGTGTTATGTTTATTTTTTTGCTTAATTTAGACAACAATTTATCCATCGCATCCTATATATATATATATATATATATATATATATATATATATATATATATAGGATGCGATGGATTAATTACTTATATAAATTATATATATATATATATATAATGTAAATTTGGGCAGCAATCTTCTTTTACATGTTTTGTTGAATATGAGAGTAAAGAAAATTGATTAATTTTTATTTATTTTTATAACATTCTTATATTTTTTCGTTTGGTAAGGAGTGCAAAAATTATCCGTATTTTCCATTGTCCTAAGCGCTTTTGGTCACGTATTTATCGTTTTATATATATATATATATATATATATATGAGATATAGATAGATAGATGTGAAATTTATAGTAGGTCTTTAGAGAAAAAGTATAGCAAATAAAAATGAAAAAATATTAGAAAGAAATTTAACTTTTTAAAGCGACATGAAAACTATATTTTTGCAAGAAAAAAGCGAGTAGGATTTTTTTCCACGATTTTTCGAATACTTGTGTTTTTCTTTGTTTTCAACTCTTGGCAACAAATACCATTATTTTGGATTCATTTCAAATAAAAATAAACAAGCTTCTTACATTAAATAATCAAACGACCCATTTTTTTTAATATTGATTCCAGTACAACAAATAAATAAATGACAATAAATGTGGTCAGAGTACTTAATAGTTTTAGTACTGGATTCATTGAAGTTTTCTTTTTATATTTCGTTCATTTTCTCGTATTTCAGGCCTTATTTGCTTCATTTCTTTTTATTTTATCTTTGTCTTTCTCGCACTTGTCACCTTCCTTGTATCTTTTCCGTTCTCCCCATATTTTTCATTCCTCCCCACGTCAGTCTGTAATTCTTTCTTGTCATGTGTCATCGAAAACCACCCCGTCCCTCCAACTGCCATTCGCGTCACTAATTTTCTCGTTCATCTCTTAATTTAACCCAAACATTTTTTTACCGTACGCCCGGACACACCCTTCTACGCACACACACACACACACATATATATATATATATATATATATATATATATATATACACCAACACTATCACATATTACAAAATAAACTGTGCATGCATACACACGCAAGCACACAAACATCATTCTAATATTCTACACGAATGGTTCCCCTCAAAAATTCGCCACCCATATGTCGATTGTAAGGATGTTCCTATTGTTAGGAAGGTTTCTTTCTCATCTCTTTCATGTATCATGTCCTTTTTAAACGGGGGCGATTATGGCTCTCCAAAATTTCCTACCTTTTATTGCTCTAGAGGTGCGCTTCTTAAACTTTTTTCATTCATGACCATTTTTCATGACGAGATTTGTCGCAACCTCAGCTATTAACCAACTACACTGAAAATACATCAGTTGTCTTTGCGTTTGTTTATTTAACAATGAAGATGTACAATTCTGCCAATTTTTACCATAAAGTTTTTAAGTCACTTACATTACAGGAAAATAATACAAGAATATTTTAAAATTATATATATATGTTAATTATTGGATTTGATTTTAATCTAACATTATTTTTTATTACTTTAAATGTTACATTTTAGTGGATCCACGTGTTTGAGTAGACATCTTTATTTTTTTTAAACGGTGTGAATTTCATTTATCGCTTTGCGCATTTGAAAGCCGGGGGCATATTTACTTTATTAAAACTCTCGAATGCAAAGGCCGATGTAATTTATACTGTTTTTTTTTTTTGGTTGTTTTGTTTTTTAACTCGGACATGCGTTTCCACTAAAATGTAACGTTTAAAATAATAAGCAATACGTATATAATTATATAGACTTGCGATTTGGCGGGAAGAATGTTCAAATGCCGAGCGTTTGGAGATATAGAGAATGTGGTTATCAAAAGAAATCTATGACTTGCTGTCCATATCTATCTATCTATCTATCTATCTCAGTCTGTTCATATCTATCTATCTATCTATCTATCTATCTATCTATCTATCTATCTATCTATCTATCTATCTATCTCAGTCTGTTCATATCTATCTATCTATCTATCTATCTATCTATCTATCTATCTATCTATCTATCTATTACTTCAAACGCTATTTTAGTGGATAACCGTGTTTAAATGACCTGTGTGTCTGTCCTAGTGGATGCGCAGTTTTATGTTTAATGATAAGCTCAATAAAATTGAAATAAAATCCCGAGCCTTTTTTCTCTCGGTCATGACGACTGTTGTGTCTATTCCAAAAGCGTTGCTGATCAACTGAAGCAGGGCAAACCTGTTGAACCGGAATATTTCGACAGTGTCATCGTATTTTTTAGCGACATTGTTGGCTACACGAATTTGTGTGACAGGAGTACTCCTTTGAAAGTTAATTTTTCTATCATTTTTTTCAAACTCGTACATCTTATGCATAGGCTGAATAAATTCAGTGAGAAAGCACATTTTTTTCTTACTCATCTTTCTATTTTTTTGTATGCTCTCTCCGCATGCAGACTACTTGTTCCCGTTAAAGGTTGCAGATTACTTGAATTTCTTTTGCATGTCAATTGATCTTTTCTCTGTATAACAAAATAAAACATGTTAAACTTTTAAAAACATATGCGCAGATATATTTATATCAAAATATTGGAACGTAAAGCTTCACTGAAGCTCTGTAATCGAAAAATATTTGTGAATAACAATTATCGTTTTGTTATTGCTTTGACACGCGAACAAGGATCCAGAAGCGATATTCTCAACAACCGCAAGTCGGCTTTGAATGGCAAAATCCATGCGATACAAATACAATTCTTCGTAGTTGGAGCGCAAAGATTTCGGCACTGCTTCCTCTCTTTCGTTGTGTGGGTGGCCGGCTGAGTTATCTTGTGGTTCTAAGAAAGCCTGTCAACAGCTACCATTACTCATTTATAGTAATCAATACCGCTAGGGTCCGTTCTTTATGGAATTACTGTATCTATTTTTTTACGTCCTTCCTTTGCTTTGCAGAGATGCTAACTCACCGAAGAATAATGGATGCGATGGATAAATTGTCGTTTAAATTACGCAAAAATGAAAATAACACTGACATCTTATTTTAATAGATATATTTACCAAAATGACACAAAAATATCTTGAAATACTAAAGAGGACATTTATTCAATAACATTACCATTGGCTTCAACCACGGCCTCCAGACGACTTTGGGATCCCCTGCAACCCTTCTGGAGGGTTTCCTTGTTTAAGTTAATGAATGCTGCCATAATCTTTGCCTTCAGTTCATCTTTGGTGTTACAAAGAGTTTTGTTGGTCTCTTGTTCAAGTTCACCCCACACATAATAATAAAGGGGGTTGCATTTTGGGAAGTTAGGTGGACAGATGTAATGGGTGATGTGGTCGCAGAAATTGTCTGACCGCCATGACTGGGTTCTCCTGCTTGTGTGGCATAGTGCAGAGTCTTGTTGCCAGCCATAGGCTCTTCCGGCAAACACCCTCTTGACACAGGGCAGCATTACTTCCTCAAGGCTCTTGATGTAGGTCTCCGGGTTGAATGCGAAGATGAATGGAGGTATAACATCCACATCACTAATGATTATTCCAAACTCCATGATGTTGACTGGATATTTGGTTTTTATCACTCTTAGTACATCTTTTGTGGACACAGCAAGCCAAGAGGCGTTCTGTGTTCTCACCTTCTTGCCTGGCAGAATTTTTCTCGTCTGAGAAAAACCAAAGCTTGTTCGGTTGGATGCTTGAGTTTTTTTAAAAGCTTCGTAGCGCGGTCTTTCCTCTTATCCTTCACGGCTTGGAATACAAAATTTTCCCTTTCTTATCTTGTATGAGAAATATCGTATGTTTTCATGGCTGTCTGATAAGGAAATCAAACACTTCTGTGTCCCTGGCTATTTACCTGATTGACTAAGATTGGTCGTAATCAGTCATGTCCTGGATCTCACCAGGTGTAAATAAGGAATGTAGCCGGTACGAATATTTAGCTTGAAAATAGCAATAAAGTATTAATAAGCTTGCGACGTCAAGGTTAGAAAGAGAAGACTGTTTAGCACCAACCCAGATATGTCAGTACTTCTGATCTGGCGATTATAAAACAGAACATGGTAGGACGAGTCAAGTATTTTCTGGAGTGGTACAAGGAGCCATTCCAGTCAGTCAGTAGTTGAGGTTGTGTCATAGAGTACCACAGCGTCATCATTGTTGTTGTGGTCTCTACGGAAATAGGTTTCTACGACGTAGCGTTGCTCGCTTCACAACCGACTAGTTTTTAATTCAGAATTGTGTTTCTCCTAGACTAGTGGCTAAATACGGTTAGAGAGCCTAGTCTGCCCTGCAAGTAATCTCTAAGTAAGGGAAGAAGAGATGGATTTATACCTTTCCATTGGTATTTGTGAGAAAGCGAACTCACAAGTTTTGGCTTGAATTTGAACTCAACACGCCAAGCTGGCCGATAACTGCATATATATATATATATATATATATATATATATATATATATATATATATATAAGTACTGTGTAGTAAAACTTATTTTATAGTATAAGTGTGGTTTCAAAGAATAATCTACTGGAAACGTTAGTACTTTCTGTGTATTTGAATTTTTTAAAAGGTCCCTTATTTCACTGTGAGCTGAAAGCTTTCAAAACTACTGTCTAATATAAAACAATCGGACCCTGAACTACCACTAGTCACAATGGACGGATGTTCCCTCAGCGAGAAGCGAGTTCCACTCAAACAACAACTTCTCCCCACGAACCACTGTTCTGTGGGACCGACTCCCAAGAGGATGTTTTCCCGATCACTACACTCATAAACTGTTCAAGTTTAGAATTGACCATTATATTCCCCACCTTACCGCATAAACTGTTCCTATTACTCTGTAACCCTCTACCACGAGTGGCTCCCGGGTCTTATACGGGGTGAACCTCAGTGAAAATTATTTTAAAATCTTTTTCTATTCTCGACGTTATTGCACTATTTGTAACCGCGTACTTCATCTAAGTTTTTGGTTTCCGTATAATATTGTATAGTATACAATTTTATTAACTTTGTCAACTTGTCTGATAGAGTATGGCCCCACAGTCTCACTACAAGAAGTATTGCTGCTGTGTTTACCGTAGGGAGAGAATTTTATGGGGCGAAGTTGATCGCTTCACGACCAACTGGTTTTGAATTCCATCTTTTCTATTCATAGACTTTGTATACCGAACAGCAGCCTGTCCTGCTATCATTCTCGTAAGAAGAGAAAAGATAGGTTCATTCATTTCTAAGAAATTGTGTACGGAAGTGAATGTGTCTGAGTTAACTCCTATTTAATTTCCTAATTGTTCCTAGGGGACGCTATTCCTAAATTATATATACTTGAGAATACCCCCACTCTCTCTCGTTCTCTCTCTCTCTCTCTCTCTCTCTCTCTCTCTCTCTTTCATTCTTCAGCGAACTACGACCATGTAAGCTCTCGCAGAATATACGCGTTTCCCACCTATGGGAAGACGCCATGAACATTATGCACACAAACACATAAACACACACACACATACGTATAAACATACTTTGAAACACGAACTCTTTACGTTCATGCATACACACACATTAATGTTTTTGTCTTTTGTAAACCCTTTTTGTTGTTTAATACATATACCTGTTTCTACATATATATCGGTTCTTAGCTGTTTTCTTTTACATTTCTTTTGGGTGGACTCATCTTGAGTTCGCCATGTTTGTAGTGGACTTTATTTCAGGAGACCACACGTGTTCATATCACAACGCGTAAACTACCCACGGTTCGCTACAAATGCAAAAAATTTGACCAATGACACTGCGCTACATGCATATCCCAAACATATGAATACTGATAACAAAATGCACGGCTTAACGATGATCGACATCTAAAATGGAGTCAGCGGACCGAGTTCAAATTCCACAATATGATGTTCATGCTACACTTCTCCTAATACAACTGAGAAGGCATTTAACTATATCTCCCTGTTGTCACGTACCTTGACTAAACTCCCCTGCAACTAACATGCTACGATGGACGTCAGAAGAAAATACAATAGTGAATGTTTAGAAACCACTCGTCTTACCTGCCCAGGCTCCGGCAACAGTAAAAGCTGCTAAATCCATAGCGAACCTCGACAGAAATCAGTCATATTCAGATGTATGTAACAAAACGTACAAATACTTCACCTAGTGGGGAAAAACCCTCAAAATATGCTTACATATATAGATACTGACGCTCTAATGCAAACACATGCCAGAAATTGTTAAGCCCCTACCCACCTAGTCCGTCACAATGTACCTTCTTCTTTTTGTTATTTTGTTCTTTTCCATTCGCATTCTTCATTCTTCTACCGAAAGTCTTTTGACACTCCAGGGGTTGACATGTCTGTAGTCAAAAAGCAATCGTGCCATGTCTAGATTGTAAACGAAACCGGCGTCCAAATCTCCCTACCTCTCCTTAGGCCATCAATGCTCTTCGACTTAATTCACACTCTCCTCCACCCAATCTCTGGAGAAAGGATAAATTCCAATATATACTGCCTCTTTGTTTCCGTTATAGATGTTCGTTTACTTGCTGAAATGAATAAAAAAGAAAAAAAATTAATGGTGGCATCTAATGAAGCGAAGGGTTTACTACAAAGACTCTTAACATCTTCAACGTTAGTTTTTCGTTAACGTCGGTAAAAGAAAACCCCGAAAACTGTACATATAAATCTTTTATCCGAAAAGAGATTCTCTGGAAAGCAGATATTATTCCCAATAGTATTGGGAGGATAAAATTAAAACAAAGTGCAAATTTCAAAAAGGGGACGTTATATATTTGACTTCATTTGGCGCTGAACATAACAGCTTCCCAATATTTACTATACTATATTGCATGACTGTTGCTGAGCTGCTGCCTTTAGCAGGATAGAAAATTTTGGGATTCCATTACCGTTTACCGGGTACAAGAAAAGCAGTAACGATTGATCCTTATGGCGTTTTTTTTTTAAAAATTCGAGAACGATATTTATATTGCCAATATGGGCTTAACAAATTCAGTTGTTTCCTGTAAAGTAATAATAATAAAAATAATAAGTAACTAGAACAAGTTGAAGCCTATAAGTACCTAGGAATTAGCGGAGGAGGTGGTATACAGCATACCCAAATGAAGGAGAAGGTAAGAAAGGAGTACTAAAGGTGTGTGCGTCTGGTACTAAATACCGCGCTGGACTCAAAAAACAGAATATCAGCCATAAACATCTTAGCTGTCCATGTGGTACAATACAGCTTTAACATCCTTAATTGGACCATAGCTGACATTAAGCGAATGGACGCCAAAAGGAGAAAGCTTGTCACTTGCTGCCGCATGCATTATCCCAAAAGCTGATGTTGATCGTCTGTATGCGCCCAGATCCGAAGGCGGCTGGGAATTAGTTCAACTAGAACTGTCCTACAAAATAAAAACTATTGGCCTTCAAGAATACCTGGAAACTACAGAAGACTGAATGATGATATGTCTCAAAGAACATGAAAGTAGTTAGCGTCTTTATTCAGTAATAAAAGAAGCCAAATTCAAAATGGAGTTTCAAATGGGTGCATAAATATCAGTAAACCACAATAGACCGACTGAAGCTGCAAAATACTTAAAAAAGAAATCAAAAGTAAATGCAACCGACCAGATACAGAAACAATGGCAAGATAAACCGCTTCATGGCCAATACTCTGCTGATGTAAACAAAGCCCGTACCCATCAGTGGCTACGTAGTACAGGGTTGAAAGGTGAAACTGAAGGTTTTATCCTTGCTGTACAGGACCAATGCTTGCTAACTAAGAATTATCAAGCACATATACTAAAATATTGTGTCAGTCCAAAATGCAGATTCTGTGATAAGTATCCAGAAACGATTGATCATCTTGTATCAGGTTGCGCGGTATTGGCACCCACTGAATATAAATCCGGCATGACAGAGTGGGCCAATATCTGCACTGGAAAATTTGCAACTTCTACAGGAAGGAAACTGAAAGAAAATAGTATGAACACCACCCAGACCCGGTTACGGAGATTGGACCTGTTACAATTTTATGGGACTACACAATGCACACTGACAGAACAATTAAAGCTAACCGCCCAGACATTGTTATTAGAGACGGCAAACAAAAAAAGTACCTCCTTATTGATATGGCAATCCCTGCAACATATCTTTGAAGATCATCAAAAAGCTATCAAAATACAAGGACCTTGAAATCGAAATCTCAGAAATGTGGTACATGAGAACATCAACAATCCCTGTTGTAGTTGGAGCCCTCGGACTGGTTGGAAAAGATTGCAGTAGATACATTGAAGAAATTCTAGAAAGCCCTTGCCTGTGTGTGTTTAGTTGGGCAGTGGAAAATGTCATGATGTCATTTCTAACCTTAGGTCTCTAGGCGGGACCCGGAAAGAAATGTGTACACATCAGAAATGAAAAGAAATAATAATAATAATAATGATAATAATAATAATAATAACCCATCAATTATAGCAACAATCATGATCGGTTGTCTTACAGCAATTTAATTTTCCCCTGGAGCTTGAGTAATATTTTTCTTTTTACAACAATTTGTTGTTGGTAATTTATTTTTCAGTTTTTTACTATGTCATTATTTTCTTTCCTAATTATCTTTACTATCCATTTTATTTGTCGCTGCTGTTGAAAGTCCTAAAGTGATGTAAGTCCTGTTTTTTGGTCAAACACTTTGTGATTTTGTAGCATCAGCTGACGAGGTTCGAATTAGCATGGTTCTCTATATAACCTACAGGGTTCATTTCCTCGAAGCCATTTTTCATCATTAATCCGAGAATCCGGTTGTATACAATTGATAGTTCAGACGTTTCTGGGGGTGATGGCATGCATGACATCCACATGAAAGTCTCGATTTGACAACTTTGCTTAAGAATACGACTCGAGTTCTTAGATTAAAACTGTTGTTTTTTAAACACCTTCAGGTGTTGGACAAAACTATTAATGATACAACTCACTTTTGTAATATTAGCAATAATACATAATCCAATGAATTTTTAATGGCGCAAAAGTTATTACAAAGAGAAACAGTAAAAATGATATTCATTAAGATTAGATGAGATTTGGGGAAATTTATTATCATGATATTATTACAGCGGTCATTGAAATGAAGAAAACTTGTTTGCCTTGAAAATCAGCATTCTAAATCCTGACTTTTAATTGAACTCGAACAATGACACCGCTGGGTAATACATCACGTCTTACCCACCAAGTTGTCCGAAAAAAACTGTTTGTTACAGATTGATTACCTATAATTATGCATGTCGACTACGGACATTGGATATCTGAAAGCCTCCAATGGGGTGGTCGGTCATGGTAGGAAGATACCTGGTGAAAGTTTACTCTCTCTGTGGGGAAGCAGAGAATCGTCACATATGGTATGTTTGAAAGAAATGTTACAAAGATAACATCAAGAAATCCTTGACCAAATTTGTTATTTCACCAGGCTTCAGGGAAAAGATTTTAGATGAAACAACCGAATGGCGCCTCCAAGTCCGACTCTGGAAAGAATTTTTTTTTTTTAAACATTACACCCCAAGCAAAGTGGGGGTGCCACTAGCACGAAAGAGATTACTGAGAGTGGGAGCAAGAGAAAAAAAAGGCGTGATAGAGGAAAGGATGAAGAGAAGGACGTGGAATTGATCAAGGCATCAGAAGATGTCGATTGACATTGTATTTGAATATTTGGAGATTATAGCTATCAGGATAGTAGTTAAGCGGAAGACAGTTCCACAGACATGAAGCTATTGGAATTAAAGAGAAGGCTACATTTAACAGTTTCGACAGTGAAAGGGCGGGACCGAGATGTCAACCTAGTAGGACGTTTAAATTCATGCAGTTTGGGAACTAGAACAACGGCTGGATGTAAGAGACAGCAAGGCAAAGAGGGAAACCCACTAAAATAAAACATCATGGAATGCACTTCAGTTGATCTTGTTTGACGACATCAATGAGCAGGAGGCTATGGAAGGCATAAGAATTAACAAGACTAGCTTTTAAGGTAATTTTAATGACTGTATTTTCCCCCCCCTCTCTCTCTCTCTCTCTCTGATGTCCCGTACATTCCAACTGTGGAGTATGGGGCCAAAGCCTCAACATGCTAAGTGTTGATACTGCGGTTCCATAGAAGTAAGCTATTCACAGGATGGAATTAGTATCCCAAACCGTTTTCTGAATTCAATCCCTACACGGGTCATCCGATTAGCCAACAAGAATCATTCAAGATATTATTAAGATTTCGATGGTTCTCCAAATCGTTCTATTCAAAATAGTCCGAGAATAATGGGAATAAGTAGTGAAGCATAAACAGATTTGACCATAACAGAGAATAGAATATGAACAACCTTTATGAAATTATTCAAGAGATTCATTTATCGTCTCTGTGTGTGCGTGCGTGTTTGACATCGCGACTTCAGTCACTTTCCCATCGCCGTGACGTGGCTTCCCTCTGTCTTCTCTATAAATATTTTCATGGCAATTGTTCTAATGAGTTCTCTCCCTTGCTACCTCGACCGCATGAATTCAAGAATACGATTAGCTTGGTAGCTAAGTCTTATAGTTTTACTTTTTAAATAGCTAGATGCAACCGTAAGTTCTATTTTAATAATTTCTTTCCTCGCACTTCTTGCCTGTGGAACTCTCTTCCGGTCTAATGCTTCGCTGTAACTTAAGATATTAAAATAGTTAAATGAAACGTCTATCGCCGTATTCTGTCTTTCTAAATTCGGTTCTTTTCTTTTGCTTTCTCCTCACCAAAGTCTTCGCATTCTTTCTCAGTCTCAGTAACCCCCTTGCGTCTTAGTGGCATTATCGCCTTAATTGGGGTGAAACGATTAAAAGAAAAGAAAAAAGTGTTATTTTTACGTTAGAACTACAAAAGTACTATTGATCGCGATTGGATCTGAATGCTTGTTTCGTAATCCATTAGAATCATCGGGGCAACATATCTACTGTTCAAAATGAATCGAGATTGCCAGATGGAGCCTATTCTCCATTATGCTGGCCTTAAACTCGGATTTGTCTTTTCTCTAGACAGGTTATTCTACTGAAGCAAGTGAGCCCTGTATGACCTGTTAAAACTCACTGTGCAAAATGAACGAAAAAGAGTCAGTCTGATTTTGAAATCGACACACCAGTTCTATTTTCCGAGCCTATAACCGTTATGTTACCTTTACATCCAGAAAGCGTATTAAAATCGCTCTAAACTGTCTCTGAGGATAAGAAAAACATGCATTTGATGAATCATTGTTATAATAATTGCAGTTACCTCCCCTACATTTTCATATGCCAGGTTCATAATTTCGCTCCTTGAAGAGACTTGAAGCAACAGAAATGTAGTTCTACAGATGAATGTCAAGAAAACCATGGACTGAACATGCGAGCAACGTGGAAGTTTTAGAGAAACTGGAAACAAAAAGGACGCTGATAAGAAAGAGTGAGTTGAAATTTCTAGGTCGCATAATGAGGAAAGAGGGTTTGGAAAATCTGACACCCACAAGACAGATTCTAGGTAAGAAGGGGAGAGAAAAACAACTAAGCTAGTAAATCGATGTCAGAAAAAAAACTAGCTGTAAATGGATGGCAGAATAGTGTTTAGGAGAGATAACAAAAAGGAGGGTCATGATCAGTAACGTCTAGAAGGAACACAGCACATAAAAGAAGAATGATGCCTTATACGAGTTCGCTTAAGTGCAATTTAACGTGAACATGGTATTTTAATATATGTGAACAGGAGTGCGTATTTGGTCGTGTGTACTCGGTCGCTTGAATAGGCTTCTTTAGAATGATACTGAAAATTCTATGGATGGACAGGATAAGCAACGAGGAAGTCTTAAAGACAATAGTAACAAATAGAAACACAAAGAAAGACCTGAAATCTTTGGACACATAATGAGGAAGGAGGGTTCAAAAAACTAAACCCGCACAGCTATATTGAGAGCAAGAGAGATAGGGAGGACAGCGAGCTACCTACATGACGAGCTTGTGTGAACAGATGGCGAAACAAGGTCTTATCAAAAGGAGAATCACTGTGAAAGGCCACAACGGTTAGGAAGTTTTGAAGAGCTATGATCGCCTATATCCTGGAAGGACATGGCACATAGAAAATGCATTTGGTCGTGTGAACGTAAGGTTCTCTATGCGTGTGTGTGGTCTATTGCTTTTAGGATCAGTACATTAGATGCGAAGGGTGAAAACAAAGGTTTCTTTCAATCGAAATCTCAAACTCATCCCATTACATCTTCCAAGGCGCAAGTAATCCACCATCCTATAAATAAAAGAGGTCTTTGATAGCGACCCCTACAAAATACATCACTGAAGTGACTTACATCTCCCTTTTCATTACGATTCCATTTCTTCCTGCAAAAAATTCTCTTCCTTTATCTATCTATCTATCTATCTATCTATCTATCTATCCCAGTCTGTTCATATCTATCTATCTATCTATCTATCTATCTATCTATCTATCTATCTATCTATCTATTACTTCAAACGCTATTTTAGTGGATAACCGTGTTTAAATGACCTCTGTGTGTGTCCCAGTGGATGCACAATTTTATGTTTAATGATAAGCTCAACAAAATTGAAATAAAATCCCGAGCCTTTTTTCCCTCGGTCATGACGACTGTTGTGTCTATTCCAAAAGCATTGCTGATCAACTGAAGCAGGGGAAACCTGTGGAACCGGAATATGTTGACAGTGTCACCGTATTGTTGGCTACACAAATTTGTGTGACAGGAGTACTCCATTGAAAGTTAGTTTTTCTATAATTTTTTTCAAACTCGTACATCTTATGCATATAGGTTGAATAAATTCAGTGCGAAAGCACATTTTTTTCTTACTCATCTTTCTATTTTTTGTATTGCTCTCTCCGCATGCAGACTAGTTGTTCCCGTTAAAGGTTACAGATTACTTGAATTTCTATCTATCTATCTATCTATCTATCTATCTATCTATCCCCTCACTGTATTCTTTGCCGCTTCTCTTTCCTATTTAATTCTTCCACGCTTTATCTTTCTTTCTGTCCCTTTTCTCATACATATTTCAATGAGTAGTCGATGAACGAGGTAGACTGACAACGTTGGTTTATTTCAATAAATGTCTTCGGAATTGAAATTAAAAAATTCTATTCATACATGTTTCATTAAATAATATAGACAAGTGTTGTCTATTTATTTTATGTAAATTTTTTTCATAACGTCTGATAAGTTTAATAACATTATCGTCGAACGAAGAAAGAAATTCACAATATTGATTCATATTTTTTTAATACTATCTAAGCTTTCGGCTTACATAAGCCATTATCAAAGATGTCAATTACTACATATTAAGCAATATACGGACAAGACAGTGATGATAGTCTGTTATTGTTTACATAGATGATTTCTAAGCAACGATAAACACGTGCAAATAAGACGCTAGAAGCGAAAATCGCACCGCATCTCATGACGTCACACATGACCACACGAGAGTGAATTGGAGAAGTATGAAGTATGGGAAGACGTTGGCATAGACCAATGGCTTCTGTTACCAATTATAGACATTTAAGGATATTTGTAGAGATTCCATAATTGATTTTCTTTAGGTTGGGTTTCAACTGTTTGATGTATAATGCTTCAGTGGATTATGTAAGCCGAAAGCTTAGATTGTATTAAAAAAATATGGATCAATATTGTGAATTTCTTTCTTCGTTCAACGATAATGTCATTAAACTTATCAGACGTTATGAAAAAAATTTACATAAAATAGACAACACTTGTCTATATTATTTAATGAAACGATATGAATATATATATATATATATGATATATATATATATATATATATATATATATATATATATATATATATATATATGTGTGTGTGTGTGTGTGTGTGTGTGTGTGTGTGTGTGTGTTTTGAAGACAAAAGGAAAATTTTTCTTTGGCCGACGCATTTCGTTCTCTGATGGATTTTTATTAAGGGAAATGTAACAAATATTTATAAAGAGATAAACAGATTTGTCGTTATTTTTTTTCAAAAAAATCGGCTAAGAAGAGTTTGCCTTTTGCCTTTATTCTTATTGTCTTTTTATAGACATTTTAGTTTATATTTGAATTTTGACATATAAACGGTGTTCCAATAACTTTGACCGATTTTAAACGTGAATTAAGTTTAAGCTTCTAATGATTTTTTTTTCTTTTTCTTTCAGATTTGGCGGACATTTGGGCGAGATTATTTTTCACACATAATTGCCAGGACTTTAAATAACATGATGCAGTAGAGAAATAAATAAATATTTACCAATAACACTGATTTATTTACTGCTGACTTTGATCCGTCTTAATGAAACACCCCGTCAATACAATCCGTCTTAATTTGAACAAATTTCAAATTCAAACCCCCATGAGCTTCCGATAACTAGCTATGATTAATTAATGACGAACATGTTATTTTCGTTTCATTACGATTCTTCTGTTAAGCTTGAAGAGTAATTATACTTTCTTATTAGTAGAGTCCAATACTTTTATAAGAACCTCGGAGAATTCCAATAAGATATCTTTAATCATTTTTAAGATACAAAGGTTCATCTAAGAATTGCAAAATTTAGCTGTTACATCCGACATATATATATATATAGATAGATAGATAGATACAGGATGTAACAGCAATATATATAGAATGCAGAAAGCACTGGACGGGCGCTTCGTCCGATATTTGGGACTCATCAGCAGTGCGCATCCACTACCGAGAATTGAAGAAAATGAATATATATATATATATATATATATATATATATATATATATAAGAAGAAAAAGAAGATTTCTCAATAACGGAGATAAGTGATAGATAGATAGATAGATAGATAGATAGTGAGAGAGAGAATCAGTGTGTACATTTGAATCAACACTGCATAGTGACTGTCAGTTTTAAGCGTTAAGAGATCTTCAGACCATGTGTCACTACTATCTTAGCGATCTCTATATATCGGCCACGGAAGGGTTAAGCGTAATCGAGAAAGGAACACTGAAAACTGACAGTCACCATGCAATGTAGATTCCTATGTCCGCACTGCTTCTTCGCTCCCCGCCACTCTTTCTCTCTCTTTACAGTGTATATCTAACATAATTACTAGCTTGTAAGCAGAATGACATCGCGTCATTTATATGTGAAATATCGGTTCTTTCTTAATCTGCGACAAAGTTTACCAACTGCCCTACAGTAGGCGCCCTTGTGTATTTTTTGTTGCATTTCAATTTTATTTATTTAATACGATTTTGATTTCTTTTTTCTAATCATGTTTTCTTTCTTCTTTCTTTTTTTTTGTTTATCTTTTCTTTCACTTCGTACTGTTTTCTTTTTTTTTAGAGGAAATCGCCTTTTTTTCCCCTTTTACAGTTTTAATCTTACTCTTTTTGCTTTTCGATTTTCTATCACAATATCATTTCTTCACTTGTCGTCTTTATTTTAGGATTTCTGTCTATGTTTTTTTTCAGTCTACTTCGTCTGCGAACATTATATCCTCCTCTCCTTTCCACCAGTCTAAGTGGTTATCCGACTCTTACTTGAATAAATACGGCTCGCTGAGACACAGAAACACACAGTCCATCGAATGTTATCATTTGCCTTTCAACAAAACATTATTTAACATCACAAATAAATGTCACTTCTTTCCTTACGGTATTTATTTGTCGTTCTTCTGTATATTTCTTTTATATAATCTTGTCGCTTGATTTATCGTCTTGAGACATGGAGAAGCTAACCTGATCATTCGTAATATATTTGCGAATCTAATACACAAGTGTAACGTATTCCCGTCCAGACAGTCTCTCTGCTGTAAGAAGGCATGTACCCTTTTTATACATAGGCATTCGCTAGAAGTCATCTACACACGCAAGTACAGTGTGTCAAAATTCGGAATATAACATTAGAACAATCTGTCTATATTTCTGAGATGAATTATTGTAACAATCTGCACTATTTCCATCGTTCGGACTGTATTTGTCCTCATCTTTATTGCCATTTTCATGACATTTCAAAGTAACCCAAAGAGTGTATTGACGCAAAGACTCGTGTGTTCAATACCTGGCCATAGCAGAAGGAACAAAAATCATGGAGAGTAGAGTTACTAAAGGGAATTAACTGAAATTGAGATATCCAGAAAAGGCATGGTCGTGGAAATTAGAACACTCTACCACCGTGGACTATTTCGATTCGAAATTCCAAAGTATATCACCTGAAGAAGGCTGGAGTGTACAACGGCCGAAACGTCTCATGTATATGGCAATAAAGATAAGGACAATAGTCCGAATGATGTAAATAATTACTCCAGAAATCTATAAATTTATTACTTACTTTTAGTATTTCTTAACAATGTTAATTAGTTTTATATTATAAGTTATTATTTGTTAATCTTTGGAGTCGCCCTGCGGGGGAAGATAGCGTAGTAGGAATTTGCTTTCGTGTTTACTTTTGGAAAAGAGCTTTGATCTTTCATTTAGTTCACATGGTTCTGGAGTGGCGAGGATTTATATTTATTCCTTTAGGCGATTTCTATATTGTTTCTAGTTCTTGTTTTGAAGAACTGCTTTTAATATTTTACTAGTATCTTTTGTGTGTTTCGGTTTGTAATTTTGATACGCCCTTTGAGACTGCTGTGCTATCTAAATATCTTGTGTTGTTAAATGATGACGTGTGTAAGTTACATCAGGGACCTTCTGTTATTTCTCTATATAGTTTTCCAAAGTTAAAAGTGATAGACTCAGTCACCGTTAAAATCAACTTTCCAATCACGGACGTCGAGTCACATGACATTTTCAGGAGCCAGTTACAGAGATTTCATTTGTCACTGAGTCGTCCGCCTTTGCAGTTTTTACTAGTTTACAGTTTGAAAAAAAATCTCATCCCACCGACAAAAATGTGTTCATGCTTACATTCGTATATGCCTATGAAGACGTTCAAGCATTCGGATATATGCGTTAATCGACATTCCTTCAACCTTTTATCAAAATGCGAAAATCCTTTTGTTTGCATTTATTCGAGCTTCGATATGGATAAAGCGTCATTTTGACGACATTATTGTTATTTAGCAGAAAGCATAAAACGTTGCTCGGCCTGGCTGCGACAGTTTCACAAATGACTCGAAACTGCTACATTTTACATTCAGCTTCTCTATTTTCTGTTTACTCTTTGTCTTATCTTTATCCTCATTCTAAATTTCTTTTTTTTTCTTTTTAACGGCAATTTCTTCTTCTTCTTCTTCTTTTTCTTCTTCTACATCGCATTCCATTTAGACGATAAAGACGAAATAAGAAGTGTAATCTTTCTTGTATACGTAGATTTGGGGCGGTAATGTCATGCTAAGAATAGAGTTAAATGTGAGAAGCTGTAAGTTAAAAAAGAGAAGAAATTGAGATAAGTTCTTCTTCTTCTATTCCTCCTCCTCCTCCTCTTCCTCCTGCTTCTTCTTCTTCTTCTTCTCTTTCTCCTTCTTCTATCCTTTTTAACCCTCTTCTTTCTTCTTCTGCTACTCCTCCTCCTTTCCTTCTTCTATCCTTTTTCTTCTTCTTCTTCTCCTTCCTATCCCTTTTCTTCTTATGATCCGTCTTCTTCTTCTTCTTCTTCTTCTTCTTCTTTCTTCTTCTTCTTCTTCTTCTTCTTCTTCTTCTATCCTTTTCCCCTTTCTTCTTATCGTTTTTCTTCTTCCGCTACTCCTCCTCCTCCTCTTTCCTCTATCCTTTTTCAGCTTTTTCTTCTCATTCTTTTCCTTTTTCTTCTTCTGATCCTCCTCCTCCTTCTCCTCCTCCTCCTCTTTCTTCTTCTATCCTTTTTCTTCTCCTCTTCTTCTTCTCCTTCTTCTTCTTCTTATCCTTTTTCTTCTTCTTCTTCTTCTTGTATCTTTTTTGGACGTAGGTGATCATGGCTTTACACATTCTCCTCTCTTTTTTTTTAACTCTTAGCAATGTTTGTCATTGTACTGTCTCTCCTACTCCCTGTTGTACCATCCAATGACAATGTTGTTTGGTACGTTGCTTGCCTTTTCCCTCTGTCCTATTTGCCTTTGACGTGTCCTTTGGTTATC